CATGTGGGACTTGTAGCAACATACTCAACACGCACATAAAATACATTGTTTGTTTACATGAATTTCCACTACCACTGCCCTTTCAATAAAGTGTTTAAATGGTCAACAGTAGAAAGAATATAGGAAATGTGATTTTAAGCTTATATTCCCCTCTACTAGAGATGCACTTCTAATACAATAACTGTGATAAAAATCAACTTTCCGAACCTAAAATTTACCAATTACCAATTTTATAATACCAGTATTGTCAATGTTCCCAGAGAAACTATTGAGTTAACAAACTGGGAGCCACACATGTGTTTAAATAGAACTAGTTACTACCAGTAATACAGTCACTATCCCAGAATGCCTAGAAGTGGCAATTGTTGAGGATCCACGAGTATGCCAAGGCACTCCAGTTTACATGTACATGTGTTCATGGATTTTTCATCTTTCCCCATCATTAGCTCACAGAAGCCATACTGTGAAAGCTCTTTGATTTGGAGACCCCTTATGACTACTTAGCTTAGTGCCCTCAATTAAAAAAAAAAATAGTATTTCAATTAGTGTTAGTCATATGTAGAAGCTTTGGCCTTGAAATCCCTTGGTGTCTTTGCTGAAGTACAAGCTCAAGCTTTGTTAAACTCCAGGGAACGAATAATCTAAGCTTTTGTGTTTATTTTGTCTGGAGTTAGCTTTGAATTGGGTATGATTGATGTGCTGCATGTACTATACATGTCATCTGTGGTACCATGTAATTACTTTCTGGTGTGAACAGATTTCTGTTTTGTTCCTATCAATTGGATCTGTATTACCACACTGTGTAACACATCACCATTGATTCATTGTCAATTGATCAGTACATAACTGCCATTAATATATGGAATATAATATGAATTATTATTGATTGCGTGTTTGTAATTGTAAAAAAATATCTGTGAGACATAATACATAGTTCTCTTGAGGATCAGTGCTTTGCATACATAGTATGGTAACAACTGTCTCTTCCTAAATTCAGCATTCTGTACTTGAGAAAATAGAAATCATTCATATTTATTAAATTCATACATGTATGTATGTAGCTTTATAGGAAAGGAGGACACTTAGCTCCAATAATGAAACAACGAGAATATTGTCTGGATTTTAAGTACATGTAGTTTAAATTTAAAAAACCTCACACAAACTGAACTATAATTTGCAATACTACTTGCTATGAACTATGCAATACTGCAAATTCTATTAATTTTACATTATCGTTGTGAGTGTAATATGATTATATGGTTTTGCTGTGGTACAATACCTACTTCCGAAAATTTCATATTTATAATATTAATAATATTTATAAATTATTGCATAATCATTGATGAATCTAGTTTAAATAGGTCAACAATAAACATAGTTCTGTTTGTGTGAGGTTTTTTCAAACTTGAAGTTTAAAACCTACATACTTAATAGTGACATCATTGGAACTGAAGAGTGGCCTTTCTTCTCTCACTTCTTGCTCGCTTTAAGGACCTCGCCAGGAGTTTCTAAATCTCTGTGGCCTTGATTGCCATAACTGATTCATGTTGGCCATATATCTCTCCATTTCCTAGTTGCCTTACCTGAAAATTCATTAACTGCCATCTAAACATGTCTCACAATACTGTGAAACCAGAGCCAGTCATTGTAGCACAGGTAGACTAGTATGCTAGACTTTTTTCATCGCCTTTAACTGAGTAACTTTTAAATTGTTTGCTTATATCCTTATTTTGACCTAAAATAAAATTCTTTATATAAAATGAAACTAAAACTACTCATGTCATGACCTAAAATAAAACACAAGTAGCCAAGTGAATGCTTCTAATATATATTATAGTGTTCACACTTATACAATCATTGTACATTGCCTGTCATAACCTATTACGCAGACAGGTAGTTGGTTATAGTACTCTCCTGCTGCGATGCTCATAATATGTGATGGTTGTCATAGTAACCAGATATCGTCATCCATTGCAATCAGAACTGTCTCTTCTTAGGGTTTTCAATCAGTCTGTTCTTACAAATGCTACTGTAACAATTTTATTTTCATGAACCTGTTTTTGTGTGATATGGTTTCAATTCTGATTACATGGGCTACTAATAGAGCAAATACAGTTTATTTATAGTGCCATTCTGTGCACAGAATGTGGCTCTTATTTCAACAGCGCTGGTTTTGGAAGATGCTCCTAGTAAATAATAAGTAATGATATTTATTCATTGCATGTTTAGGTAATTACATTATTTAGTATCTTCTATTCTTACATGCAACAATTGATTGAAAATGTGTTGGTATTTGTGAATAAACCCTCAGATAGTTTACATGACTACGGTTAATGCAGGTAATTGTGAATTTTAATCTCAATTAAATATTATATATCTCATGTATGTTGTACTTTCATATTATGAGGATACCGAAAATAAAACAAAAAATAGGGTCACTAGACTAATTTGAGTCTTAAAATGTTAGCATTTTTACACAGAAATCTATAGTTGGACTATTTCTTCATTTTTCAAAATTTCGCTTGGTGAAAAAGTCATATGTTGTTATTTGAATTCTAATGTTGTTAAAACATTTCCAAAAATTTACATAAGATATTCTTCATTGCTACTGTAAATAAACAGTACATTTCTTGTTTGGTTAAATAGTGTAAAATACATATAATTTAGTCAGTTTTCAATACCATAGTAGTTTTCTATTATATGCAATGAGAAGTTTTCTCCCAAAAGGCATTGCATATGTGCAATAATTAAATGATTAGACATACATTTATTGATTAATGTACTTGTGCATTGTTCCTTATGCAAACTGTCATTGAGAAATGTTTACATTGTCAATTGTTTAAAATATTGCATGGTGATGAGGGTATGTCTCAACATGGAACTATAAACCCCAGGAAGAACAACGAAACTAAGAGGATTAAAAAAACCTTTGTCTTAGTTTATCTTACAGTGCTTTCGCTTTTGTTTCCACGACATTAGTCATACTCCATGTTAGTTGCCGCCGATACGCCCGTTTCAACCGCTTTGCTGGAAACGGAAAACTTGAAAAAAAAATTTCATATCTGCGCAGTAAAATATTTCGTTCACTACGCATGCGCAAACAAGTCGGTCTGCAGGGTGACCTTCAGTGTACCGGAAATCATGCAACGGGTCGGAGTTTTAGCGAGTTTTCATAATTTTTAATGTCGTTTTTAGATTACTTCTTGTTTTTTTCAACCCTCGAAAAAATAAGGTTGCGAAAGTTTGCGAAACATGGGGTTTGGTGAGCTGTTTGTTGTTGAGATATCCCGACTAATTCCGTGTTTCCCTTCGATCGCCAGAAGTGGCAATGTGTTTTTTTTTCCCGTTGAATGTCGATCATTTATCAGTGTTTTTGTCTTGGCGCCATTGTTTTTTTATGCTATAACCGGAACAACTCGGTCACGTGATCTCCCGGAGTCGTCCGAATGTCTCCGAAAATGACCGATAGTCGGAGATAAACGTTCATTTGCGTAAATCGGCTTATTTTTTAATGCGACAAAATAAACAGTCAAAATAAACATTCGACATCGCGGCAACTATCATAGTTCAAAGGAAACGAAGTGGTTGTTCTTCCTGGGGTTTATAGTTCCATGGTCTCAACCACATAGATTTACAAATATAGTATATTCTCAGAATATACCGGTACTGGTATAACTAATATTCCAGGCATCATTGTTTTCATTTCAGGAGCTTGTCAGTTCTTGTAGTGTACGTATTATAGTATGTGTCTGGGTCAGGGTCAGTTTAGCTCCTATGAGACTGGTATAGAATGGCTGGGGCATGGATAGTTTCCTAAAATTTGATGCTGTTGGTTTATCACAAACATCCCACTTATTTAAATATGGAGCAATGCTTAAGCTGTACTTTGAAGTAGAACTTCATTTACCCTATGTGTACAATAGTGTTTTATAATACATCAACTTTGTGAACAATACTATGTTTATTTTACAATATTTTAGTTGTAATTGTAGCGAACAAAATAATGTAACAACCACTGATTTCTAGGCAGCAGTATGGTAGTGCAGTTCACGGTTCCTACTTCGGAATTGAGAGGGTACCCAGTTTCAAGGCCGAATTGATAAAATTGCCTGCACGTATAAAGTATAAAAATAATTATATGGAATATCTGTATTTTTCGAAGGGTGCCAAGGCAAATAATTGCCAATCATGCCTCTGTGAAGTACAAGCTCTGATTCATTTAACCAACCATACCTTATTGAATAAAATGTTCTTGAAATTTAGCGTTAAATTGACTGAACGTAACAATTATGACGCATATTAATCATAGGGTTTATAAGTCAGGTGAATCAACTTCTTCTAATATTTGGAAAGGTTGTACTGTACTGATCCCAAACTCTGGTTTTATTAGCTAACCATTGACTAATAAAGTTTACATTCAAATAAACTACTTTTTTACGTCACGATTTCTTTGTAAATAATATAACTGTTGTAGTGACTTGTATGATGGTGGTTATGTTGCATCTTAGTGAACACACTGTATAAGTATAGGCAAACAGTTTTAGTTGACGTCATACTAAAAGGTCAAAGTGGTGTACTGTTGTCCTTGTGAAGTTATTCAAAATATAGCTTAGAGAAAAATTTATATGTTTACTCGATGGTTCTGCCATTTTTGTAATACTGCCATTTTACAAGTTGTACATGCTTTGGGATAATGACTCCCATTCCCTTTCTCCAGTGTTCTGACTGTGCTGTAAAATAGTATACTGTAAAATACTTTATTTTCGCTTGGAATTAATTTTCGCTATATTCACTGAAGGAATAATTCATTGAAAATAAAATCCAGCGTATGTACTTTTTTTCTTCTATATTTTACTTTCAACTTGTCAGAAATCAGTGAAAATAAATCCAATACAAAACAATGCACTTCTAATAGAGCCAATACACTATGACTGATGTTTGTGTCCAAGCTTTGGTAATCAGTTTCCCAACATTAATTATCTGTCTGTTTGTTTTTTCAGAATAATTGTCTGATCAACTTTCAAGAGATTACCACAGCTTACAAAAACTTAATTCCAGGTTAGTGAAAATGTTTTCTTCATTTTTTTATTTTGTATATGTATGCATGTTTCTATGTGATTTAGACGATATTTATTTATACATGTGTACTGGCCGATACATCTGTATATTTAGGCCCTCACATCTGTATATTTCTAGGTGATTTATGCCCTTGTGTCTATAAAATATTTGCAAAAATATCAATTGAAAAAAAAGTACTAACCCAGTAATAAATCACATTAGTCTATAATTACTTGTATTATTTGTGTACCTAGTATATATTTGATTAATTTTCCGGGACATGAAAGGAACATTTGAAATAATATTTATTGAGAAAATACATATATATATATATATAGTTTGCCTTCATTATCATTGTTTGTGGTTTCAGCAATGTGAGAATGTTGTGATTTTTGTATGTGTTTATTAAATCAGTGTGTTAATCTATTCAAATACCTTATATACATGTATAATGAAATGTCAACAGTGATAAAACTAATAAAATACATAACAGTTAGAAAAAGAGAAAAAAATGACAGTTATTTTATAGTCAGAGTAGGTTGTATTTTATGATCTAGTAGGCAATAAATACAATTTTTGGTTTATTTTTTCTATTAGAGATGTGCTTGTAATGGATTAAATATGGTAACAATATCAACATTGGATGATAAATCATGTGTATGATGTGTTTAGTGTTTGTATTTCATGTTGTGGGAGCTAGTAACTGGCAGTTGTCTGAATTGTCTATATGAATAACTGGGTGAGAAGGTTGTTTTGTCAGTTGCAAAGTCAGAATAAAATGACTGTATCATATGTGAATTCAAAGGCTGAGCTTCTATAATATACGGTACCAAACAAAAAAAAGGTAAAAATTTTATAAATCTATTTTAAAGATGAATTAATAAGTCAGTTATAGCCACAACAGTTCTGACCAAATTTAAATGTATCCCAGACCAGACCATGTATCAGACGATTACATGGCTCCCTCTCAGATCAGACCATGTATCAGAAGAATACATTGCTCCCTCACTGACCAGACCATATATCAGAAGAATACATTGCTCCCTCCTGCTCCCAGACCATATATCAGAATAATACATGGCTCCCTCCCAGACAAGACCATATATCAGAAGAATACATGGCTCCCTCCCAGACAAGACCTTATATTTGAAGAATACATGGCTCCCTCCCACTTCCAGACCATGTATCAGAAGGATACATGGCTCCCTACCGCTCCCAGAGCATATATCAGAAGAATACATGGCTCCCTACCGCTCCCAGAGCATATATCAGAAGAATACATGGCTCCCTACCACTCCCTGAGCATATAATAGAAGAATACATGGCTCCCTCCTGCTCTCAGACCATATATCAGAAGAATGCATGGCTTCCTGACCAGACCATTTATCAGAAGAATACATGGCTCCCTCCCAGACAAGACCATGTATCAGAAGAATACATGGCTCCTTCCCAGACAAGCTAGACCATGTATCAGAAGAATACATGGCTCCCTTCTGCTCTCAGACCATATATCAGAAGAATACATGGCTCCCTCCCAGACAAGACCATATATCAGAAGAATACATGGCTTCCTCCCAGACAAGACCATATATCAGAAGAATACATGGCTCCCTCCCAGACAAGCTAGACCATGTATCAGAAGAATACATGGCTCCCTCCCGCTTCCAGATCATGTATCAGAAAAATACATGGCTCCCTCCCAGACAAGACCATATATCAGAAGAATACATGGCTCCCTCCCAGACAAGACCATGTATCAGAAGAATACATGGCTCCCTCCTGCTCTCAGACCATATATCAGAAGAATGCATGGCTTCCTGACCAGACCATGTATCAGAAGATTACATGGCTCCCTCATAGACCAGAGCATATATCAGAAGAATACATGGCTCCCTCCCTGACCAGACCATGTATCAGAAGAATACATGGCTCCCTCACAGACCAGACCATGTATCAGAAGAATACATGGCTTCATCCCAACCAGGTATCAATAGAATCAACACATTATGGTCCCAGACTGGGTATTGACAGAACACATGAAAAGGTCACTTCGTTTTGCAGAGATGCTGATAATAAATACATGTACAATGTACCTGGTACTTCTATGAAATCAACAACAGTACATGTACATTATTCTGAATACAGGAAGCACCTGTCCCAACTATACATGTATGCTACAGTGCACCCTGTAATTTTAATACTGCTTTTGATTATTCATAATAATAAACAATACAGTCAGAGTCTAAGAATGGAAGAAAATTTACCAGGTGGTCTGCCCCAAGCAGTAACTTACTTAAGAGTACATTCACATATTGCAGAATTAAAATGTATCAATTTTTTTTCTATTTGATTAATACATGTTTTTGTTTTTTTAATTCATTTTGTGCAATAGACATTATTTCACTTGATGGAACATTCTAATAAATTTATATAAATATTGAAGATGCCACTATTATTCATTCATAGCTTGAATCTTGCTGTTATTACTCCATTCTTCAGGCATGTTCCAGCATCAGCCAGCATGTTTCTATAAAGTAAAATTTGTTCCATCTTCCGATCCCACCTTGATTTGTTAGATAAGAAACAAGCAGTAGCAAGTTCTGTGCATCTGCTTTGACAATCTTGAAAGTGAATCTTCAAGGATATTAACCAGCCTGAACTTTTGTTAACGCAATATTTTACTGGAGTCACCAAAATTATTACATTCATATTCAATACAGACCACTGTGTTATCACTAAAATAATCATAGTCATCATGATGTGTCAAATTCAACACAAGTTCAATGCAACATATACAATGCAAGCCAAATTTGTTTCACAGTAGCGCTTTGGTGAATACAGGTGCTAATAGTTGTGGGTAAGAAATCAGATAGGAAGTAAATGGGTATGCAAGTGAAATAACTGACAATTTTTAGTGTATTTTTTCAATCACTAGAAATTGAGAAGAAAAAAACAAACAGGTGTACTGAAACTTATTGCTATTGAAGGAGACATATTCCCTGTTTTTATTAATTAATTTGAGCAAATCTGATGTTGCAGGGATATTATGAAGAACAATACATTCTGTGTTTGAATTTGTGTGGTCACATACCAATGAAATGTAAAGCTTTGTTGGGTTCTACTTTGAAAGCTCAATACGCCTTAATTAATATGTACCCGCTGATATATATGTTATTTTCCTGAAATATTTTGGTCATACACGCTACATGTTAAATTGATCAGATTAAGCATTCATGAGCCATAAATGCACAAATTGTGGCCATTTTTGACAAAAATTTAAGATTAAAATTATTTTATTTTTCTCATTATAAAATTTAGCCATACATCCTATATGTAAATATTAAGTTGATGGGTTAAAGCACAAAGCTACTACATATGTCCTAAATTGTGGCCATTTTTGCCAAAAATCCAAGATTAAAATTATTGTATTTTCTTGTAAGAAGCTATACGCTACATTTCAAATATCAAGTTGATTGTTCAAGGCTCCCCTGTGAAACACACGGCAAAAATCAAAGATGGTAGCAAAATCATGTGACTGATCCAAATTATTTGTTTGAGTTTGGTATGGAGATGCAACATGGCAAATTTCAAAATAATTAGATAAATGTGGCTTCAGTAAAAAATGTAATTCCTGTTTAGAAGAAATCAAAGACGACAGACCAATCACAACAAGCGACTCAAACTTGTATAAGCAATATACATAGATGCTAAGAAACAAATTTCAGTTCAATATGTTCATTGCTTCTGAAGAAGAAGATTTTAAGTGATTTTTTTACCATTTTTCGAGGGCAAAAAAGCATGGCAGAAAAAGTCATGTGGTTGCTAATGTTTTAATTTGTGAAATAGATAGCTCATATATCAATAATCCTACTACAAAAAGTCAGAATGGCCACTTCCAGTTCAACTTCTATCCAAGGTGGCTCCCAAACCATTGACCAATCAAAATTCTAAAGTTAAGTGCACTAGTTCTCATAGTTCCTGATATGCTTGAGAAGTTTCAGAAGTCTACAGGCAACAGTTTTTAAGTTCTAGGGTGATAAAGAAATGGCGACGGAAGAAGAAGAACAAACAGTGTAAATTCCTATCAGTGAAATAAAGCAAAGCTGTGTGGCGCGGTTCGCGTGGACGGGTTTCATGTTCTCTGCACGTAATAAGCTCGGTTATTAAGCATCCTTTTTTGGGGATGCCCGGTGGCCGAGGGGAAGACGTGTAGTGGCGTGAAGCTAGGCGATTAGGTGCCGTACGTGAGCGCCGGTTCGAGTCACGCACACACTATGTGTTTACTATAATTAGACATAGTCTTTACCTTGCCGTTTATTCGGTGTTATTTGCTTGCTAAAGCAAAGCACAGTCCTGTACAGTATATATCATTGTCCATATTTGGACATTGCATGAAATCATAGATGTCCTTATATTATTTATTATTTATTAAGGGTTAAAGAGGATTACTTTCTGGCTTTTCATTGGCCCCTAAACCTGCATAATGTAAAATCATTCAATTAAATACATATGTGTAGTTTTAGGTGTCTAGGGAATTGTAAAAAAAAACTAAAATGAAATAATTTCAATAAATTGAATAAGAATATCATTTGCACATTATTGTTATCAGCATGTTTTTTGTCTGGGTGGTAAAATTACATGCACATGTATATACACATGTATATACATGTTCCAGGGCTGCAGGCCTACATTATTCGAATGGTTCTGGCTGGCTCCATACAAGCAAAATTTATAAAAAATTAAGTAATATGTACTTCTGGTGCAACAAAGGCATTTCCTTAATCGTTATAACAATTTATAAAATTCAAATTGAAACAAGAGGGTTATGTTGACCGATTGGATTACATTGGAACATTTTCAAATGATGCCCATGCATACTGTTATTATTGATTAGATGGTTTGATTTGATTGCCATTGTAATTTATCAATATTTTTAAAAATCAAAAGAATGCCTTTGTTGAGCCAAGAGTAACTCTACATATTAACACAGGCATATATAA